CGTCCTCCATCTAAAACAGATTGGAAACAGTGTCGTCAGGTAACAAAAGACGCTCTTTCCTCGTTTTGTAAAAAATGGTGTAAACGGGAAAAATCTTATAAAAAATCTCTTGATTCTTATTCGAATAAATGTATGAATGTTATGGATATTCGAATATCACATATAGAAAATAATTCAGAAATAAATAAAGGAGTACATAATACGCCTATTTCTAGAATAAGAAATAAACTTCAAGAACTTTCACAGCGGTTTGTGTTTGTACCGGGCGACAAAGCAGCCGACAATGTGGTGGTGGTGGTATGCCGTAAATACCACACGGACGTTCTTAAGAATGAAATTTTAAATTCATCTACATTCAAGTCCGTGCGCTCCACAGAGAGTCATATAGTAAACAAACATATCATAACCACATCACAGCTTAAGGCCTCTTCTGAACATTTAAAGGTCCCTACTATGTATTGGTTACCTAAACTACACAAAAAACCAGTAAAATATCGTTTCATCTCGGCCTCTAGTAAGTGTTCTACAACTAATCTTTCAGTGCTTTTAACTAATTCCTTAACTACTATCAAAGAACTTATCATAAACTTTTGTAATAAAATGTATGAAAAAAGTAAAATAACAAAAATACCGAACTCCGAGTAAAATTCAAAACAGAAAGTCCGTAATTAAATGGCAAAATCAAAAGCTCGAACAAATCAAACGAATGGATAACAACTGTCATATTCCTGACTTGGTGCAGGCATTTTCTTATGTAGGAAATGGTGGATTAAACCCGGTTTTATAGCTAGCTAAACCTCTCACTTGTATGAAAATAGTGGAATTAACTATTTTTGGAGTGTAAAAAATTCTTTGGATGTTTTAGATAAATTACGTGCTTTTGATGGTCCTTTTGATTCTGTTGACAGTTTTGATTTTTCATCTCTTTACAACACTTCCGCACAATCTTATCAAACAAAAGTTTTCCTATATATAATGAATTTTCTTTATTGTAACAAATAGACTAGCACAACATGTATGAACAAAGGTATACAGAATGGCATATTCACACAAAGGAAGTATTAAATAATTAAACAACAATTGAATATATGATGGTGCAACAATAGGTTGAAAATAAATAATTTTCTTATAACATTGGAATCTTATTTGTTCTTGCAATATCTATTAGTGGTGTTTCAATCAAAATTCGACATTTATTATTTATTCTATAATAGGGGCCCAGGGACTCCAGTATTTGTTATATTCATCTACAGAGAGGTTTTTATATGAAATGTATTTTTCTAAGTTCAAGTTTTCCTTTAAATAGTTTTTTAAAGCATTTAAATTTGGCAAAACTTCATGTAATTTTGTTCGGTAAATATAGTATTTTGAAAGCAAAATAATCTTATTTTTAACAAAATTCAATTTAACATTTTCGTAGATACCAAATAGAATAATCATTATATTCAAAGGCAGTTCAATATTTGTCATTTCAAAAATCCAGATGTTTAGTGCATGCCAGAGACTGGCGACCATCGGACAGCTCCAAAATAAATGTTCTATGGTCTCTTGTCCTTCTTTGCAAAATGTACATATGTTGCTACTATTTATTTTCATCTTGTAAAGTAGTGAATTAGTTCCTAAAATTCTATGTATAATTCTATATTGGAACCAGCAAAGCTTAGTGCTTCTGGTATATTTTGTACACGAAGTGTGTATTTTTTTCCAGTTAATACCAGTCATATTAAGATGATTCTCCCATTTTTCCTTTGCAGCAAAAGTAATATATTTCTTATTCAATACTTTGTACATGTCCTTTGAACCTTTTTTTGATTCAAAGAAGATACTTATGTTAAAAGGTAGTATTGCTTGAATTTTTTTCTCCTTTACTTCAATATTGATCGTGTTTAACTTTGCCCTGATAATCTAACTAGTCATGCACTGTCCAAATTCCAGCGTTTGCCCAGTTTTCATAGTAGACTCTTGAACCACCAATTTTAATGTTTTCTACCTCCCATAAAGAATAAGATAGAATTTCATCAATACATCTTGGTTTTCTAATTTGATTAAGGGTTTTCCAAGCATCAAAAACCTCTTGCCAAAATTTATTTGATGACCTTTTAATAGGCCCAATATAACTTAGTTCACTAAAATTTATTTGCTCCACAATAGAGACTAATCTCACCCACTTTGAATTCGAATTATACAGCCGTCTTACCCATGTAAGTTTCAGTCCCTGTATAAATGCTTTTAAATTTAGCATTTTAAAACCACCCATATAATAATCTTGACATAAAAGATCTCGCTTGACCTTATCAGGTTTGTTATCCCAGATAAAAGCATACATTTTATTTGTTAAATTACGTAACATATTCTCATCTGGACTAGGGATAGATAGAAACAGATGATTTAATTCAGATATGACCAAAGTTTTTAAAATGGTAATCTTTCCAAAGAGGGTGAGATACTGTTTTGACCATTTTTTCAAAGTGTTGTCTATATTATCTAAAACTGGCCTATAATTTAAATTGATCATTCTATCTAGGTCGACTGAAAAAGTAATTCCAAGGAGCTTAAATGTACTGGAGCCCCTTTTCAATCCCCACTTTACACAAATTTGATCCTGGCTATGTTTTTTGCTACCTATCCTTATAACACTTGTTTTTTCTATATGAATCTTTAGTCCCGAGATTTCAGCATACAATTGGAGAACACGAAGAGATGCATCGAGCGCTTCTGGCGAGCTATCTAATATTAATGATGTATCATCTGCATATTGAGAAAGTACAAATTCTGTATCATCTATAGTAATACCCTTTATCTCCTTGCTATTTCTTACCAAAATGCCTAATATTTCTGCACATAGCAAGACAATATAAGGGGATAAAGGATCTCCCTCTCTACAGTGAAGAATTCTGACAAAAAACAGTTATTTGTCACTGCAGCTTTTATATTGTTATAGAAGGTTTTAACCCAGGATATAACTGATTCACCAAAATTAAAATATCTTAATGTATCATAAAGAAAGGACCAAGAAATGGAATCGAATGCCTTCTCAAACTCAATCAGCAAGAGAATTCCTGGAATGTAGAATATCATATATTAATCAACAATTTTCGCCTATATATCTACCTGGAACAAAACCAGTTTGATCAGAACTTATTAATTTTGACAAAACAGATTTTATTCTCTCTGCTATACAGCTTGATGCCAATTTATATGTAGAATTTAGAAGAGTAATAGGTCTCCAACTTTTTAGAAATTGTTTTGGTTTACCATCACTTGGAATACATGTAATCACTCCCTGCCTCTGGGTGACAGACATTTGGCCTTTCCCATATCCAAAATTTATAGATCTAAGGTCAAATTTACAAATATCAATCCAAAATTTTTTTTAAAATTCTGCCATGTAACCATCAGATCCCGGACTCTTGTTATTTTTCATTCTCTTTAATGCTGCAGTTAATTCAGAAAAACTAATCTTTCCCTCCAATAACTGCTTTTCATCCTCGCTAAGGTTCGGTATATCATTATAACAATTGTCCCGTGTTAAATCAACCCTTTTCAAACAATCTTGTTTTTTATAAAGTTTCTCATAAAACACCCTTGTCTGATTTAAGATTTCGTTTTGTTCTTCCACTATAACACCATTTTCTAAAGTAAGTTTTTGAATAGTCTTATTAATATAATTTCTAGTCTCTAGATTTAGAAAAGAATTGGTAGGTTTTTCTCCTTCTTCAATCCACTGACTTCTTGACCTAACATATTGTCCCTGAACCTTCTTTTGTCTATACATTTTAAGTTCTGTTTTTTCTGATTAATCTCTTCAAGATTTTCTTATGTGAGTGCATTTTCTTCTAATTGTTTTAATTTTAAAATAATCTCATTTTCAATTTATATACCCTCCTTTTTTATAAGAGGCGTATGAAATAGTTTTACCGCGTATTTCTGTGAGTAAAGTTTCGAAAAAAAACTGGTCATCAACAGTAAATTCAATTTTAGAGTTGTCAATATTTTGTAAATTTACATCTCTATATATCTTGATGGCATATTGTTCTTTTACTTACTTAAACAACATAGTCAGTATCATGAAGAAGGGAATTATTAAACTTCCAAAGGCCTCTGCCTTTTATAATTTCATTAAGCTTGAAAGAAAAGATGACTGGTGAATGATCAGACCTGCAACTGGTCTCTTGTGAAGAGTTGTCTCATTGGCAATCATACCACATCTTCTCTTTTATAATAGTGATACTTATTGATAAAAAGTTAATCACAACTAAATTCAAGTGCGTATCCGTGTGTTGGTGTTTGTGCTGTGTTGTTGGGTGTATAAGTTTCAGGTCGTGCATTTGACTCGTACACGGACGGCAGATGCCAATGATACTCTTTTACAGGATTACCTTAAGTCAACTGGTAGCGTGATATAGGGAAGCCTGGTCACATAAATAAAATGGATCCTGGTGCAGCCTGAACAAATCTTTGTCAGTGAAAATATACTCAAAGTCGAATAAAAGTTCAATACTGTATTATCAAAATCACACGACTATAACAAAGTTACAAGTATAACAAAATGTACATCTAACTTCAGGCTCAACAATACGGTTCTCTTCTTTTACTATAAACGTAACTGTCCTCTCCTCACTGTAAATTCTCTCTCCCCTTACCTCAAACTCTTTCTCTCTTTTATATCACTCCTACAAGCCCAGATACAAATATGGAATGCTAGGGCAACCGGTCTCCGGGTGCTCCGTGTTCCTTACATAAATTTACTAGGGCACCATATGCAAATCATTAGGGTTCACTACATGTAATAGTCAAACAAAGAAATCTAAATATAAATCTTAATTAATATCTCTGATGATATCTAACTGTATTGAATGACTATTTGTGAAAATATGTTAACCGGATACACTTACGTTAAACACTTGTCTTAACATATAAAAATGTTACATTCCCATCAAATTCACTACGCGCAGACCAAGGAGGTTATTTAATAATGTACTTGTGATCTGTGTAGTTTCGTGAACGTGTTACATATACCAGTTTTATAGAACAACAATAATGGCAGCTATCGATCGGAGTAAATTAGATAACTTTATATCAGTGGCTCTTGGTTTAAAATTTTGTGTATCTGGATTACAAAACTTTATACTGGATACTATGGAAACAACACATCAAAACATTTTACAACAAATACCTGTAGGCTTTTGTAATATAAACTGTAGTAGAAAATACGGAAATGGTTTCAGTCAGTGGTGCATCATCTGTGGATCATGGAAAGATGAACTTAATAAACTCTGTCGGTATAAGAAACAAAGGGACAAAATCAACTGGAAGGAGATAGATACCATAGACTTTCCACACTCGACACCAGATTCATATGAAGCAATTTCAAAAGTTTTTGTTCGTGATGTTCACCAGTTCAAACAAGGAATTTATCAAGATCTTGGTGCGATTATATCCTTGTTTATGAATATGAAAACCTTTTCGTTCGATAACCAAATATTGGTTGATATTCAACGACACAGAAACGACAGCTTTGCTCATAATTATAGAGTTAGTTTAGACGAAACAGAGAAGAAGCTGTGCTTAAATAGCTTTATAAGGATTTTAAAAGTCCCGAATATATTTTGTAAAGAAAGTGCAAAAGTTGCTGTTAGTCTGTTGGAAGAACTTGTGTTATCGGAAGGAATTCCTACCGGTCTCTTACAACATCAGGACGCACTGGATACACTGATATTAATAAGAGATAGTTTTGAGCAACTGTCACCTTATACTGATTTACAGATCGTAGCGTTTTCTTTTGCAATCGACACATTCAAAGACAGAATTAACAATATAATATTGAAAACAACAATTAAGCCGAAAAGAGTAACTAAAAACCTTGTTTCACTAAAGACGAGGAATGTTCTTAAATGTTTAAGTCTTCCCTTACTTTCAATTTACATTATTATTTCATTTATCTCGCTAAAGAAGATGGATTCATCGAATGAAGGTATTCACCATTATATAAAACATACATCAGTCTAAGATTTTTTATATAAAGATTATTCGAACAAATTCCTAGCATACAAGCTTTAATTTTGTCCTTATACATCCTGGTCTTTCAAATATTTGGCTCTGAGCTTTCCTGATGAAGATAAATACAGAAAAGCGCTTCGGACGCATGAAATAAATAACGTGTTGTTTTCATTTTTAACCGGATTTTCGAAGGAAAAACCGGTTATTGATTTAAGGATGTACGGCGGCCGCCCGGGTGCCGTCGCGACGGGCGGCTGCCAAACAGCGTCCGTTCATTAAAATGCAAACGCTTTGACGAAATTTTTCAAATTTAGATGTGTTGTTTCCTTGACTAAATGAAGGATAAATTCAATTTTCACGATTTTAGCTTTTCTCGTTGTTGAGTTGTAGACCTTTCAGTATCCAAAAATGATATTTATTATATGATTTAGTTATTTCCCTTTAAACAGAAATGGTGTAATTAATAAGTATATGTATAGATAGTCTATCAATGAGTGTATCTGTTCAATTGATTTTAGTCAGGAGTTTTTCTTTATACCTATTTTTTTTATAATTATATGTGTGTTTTGAAGGTCACAGTTGTTATGTGGTATTTTATTTTTGTTGTGCGTGTTAATGTCTAATTATGCCACCCTGACGAAAGTCGGGTGACATATTGTTATTGTTCCATTCTTTTTTTTTTATTATTTTTATTATTCCACACCTTTTGTCCAGACTATTTCTCGGAATTGAATGGACCAATTGTAATGGAACTATACAATAATGTTAACCACCATTGGCAGAAGTGCAGTCAGAATTGGCATTTCCAAGATGGCCACTGTTACCCTGGAAACAGTAAAAGAGTGAAAAAATAAGTTGTTGGTGGATAATTTGAGTATGCCTGAACATTGAATCATCAATTTTTTATACAATGTAGTTTTCCTCTATATACATGTTTTGGATGATTTTGAGATTCCTCGGAACTACGATGTTGCCATGGAAACTGATCAAAAATATCAAAAATTCCAAAGTTCTCTAAACTTGATAAAACTTTACAGAAATGTTGACTGCATATGTAGATGTGACACTAAACTTTGGAATCTCCAAAATGGCTGCCGTTACCATGAAAACAATGCAAAAATTTCAAAATGCTCAAAACTAAATGAAACTTTACAGAAATTATAACCACCATAGGCAGATGTGGTATTTGAGTTTTGAATTTTCAAAATGGCCGCCGTTGCCATGGAAGCAGCACAGTTGTTTAAAATTGAAGAACGCTCCAAACTCTAAAACTAACAGATAGATATGTTGTCATGCAGATGAGTATAATTCAGAAAGTAGTCAAAATATGTCTGTTGATGAAATTAGAGTACCTAAGAAAAATAAACAAAAAATCAATAAGTGTGAAAAGAAAGACCAATTAATGTTGAAATGGCCGCTGTTTAGTGACAATTGGTGGACCAATTGCAATTCTAGTTTTTACTTGATCCTGTTTGGGGGTCCAGATATGCAAATATCATTTTCATTAGATAATAATCTATTTTTATTAAAGGATATATTCCATTACATTACCTTGTGTAGATACAGTTGTTGACATTGATAGATAAGTTGCAGATCTATATTAGTTTGTGACAACTGAAAGAAAATACTGGGAACTATTAATTATACATATAAAGTTCGATTACACTAAGTGTTTTTAAATAATTTTCACCTGTTATCCAGATAACAAAGCATGTGGTAAATATCATATCACACAATTATAATTGGAGTGACAGATTTATTTAAACATTTTCTGCTTCCTAAGTGCTGTTGATGATAAGCTCTGTAGGACGGTATAAATATAGTTTGAAAATTGCTGTTCATTATAAGACATTTTGAAGATAATTTCAGATAAATTTTATAGATTTTTAAAAGACATTGTATTAATGATAAATGATATTTTTTTTTCCCTTTTCTTTGGTAAATTGTTTGAAGAATTTTGTGGTAGATTTGTTAGTATATTCTGAATTAACTAATTTTCTGATGCTATATATATATTTTTTTTTTGATGAAGCGAACTCCTTTAAAAACTAAGCTTATATTGTCTATTAAAAAACATGTACTTTTTTTAAATTTTGGGCCCAAATCGGGGTCCAAAATTAACCTGTATTTCATTTCAACAGAAATTGAATATATATAGGGTTCTTTCAAATGCTGAATCTAAACCTGTATTCAAATTTTGGATTTTCGGGCCCAGTTTTCAAGTCAGTCCAAATCAGGGTCCAAATTAAACTTTGTTTGATTTCAACAAAAATTGAATTTATGGGGTTCTTTGAGATGCTGAATCTAACCATGTATTTAGAGATTTTGGATTTTGGGCTCCTTTATCAAATTGGTCCACATTGAGGTCAAAAGGGTCTTAAATTAAACTTTTGTTTGATTTCATCAAAAATTGAATTCTTGGGGATCTTTGATATGCTGATTCTAACAATGTACTTAGATTTTGGTTATTGGACAATAATAGGTAAATGTCCAATTTCAAATTTTTCAGTGTTTTAACCACATTCATTTTGTGTCACAAACCTATGCTGTGTCAAATATTCAATCACAATCCAAATTCAGAGCTGTTTTAAGCTTAAATGTTGTGTCCATACTTTCTCAACTGTTCAGGGTTCGACCTCTGCAGGAAAATCCGGTTTGCTGTCACTCTGACAGCGTCTTGCTTATGTTTGTCACAATTGAATTCAAAGCTGCATATCGTTGAAGCAACTTTGATACAAGATTGCAAACTTTACATGTTATTGTTGATACCAACAAATGATTTCTTCAACCAAGATAAATTAATTTGCATCCGAAAGACAGTACTCAGTTTGACTCCCATGTCAGTAGAGTTATTTTTGTAACAAATGTCCTCATATATATATAAGAAGATGTGGCAACTTCTACAACAGATTAAATGACATATCATATATGCTAGTAACTATAGATTACCGTACGGCCTTCAACAATGAGCAAAACCCATACCGCATAGCAAGCTGTAAAAGGCTCCGACATGACAAATGCAAAACAATTCAAATGAGAAAACTAACGGCCTAATTTATGAACAAAACAATAAACGAAAACAAATGTGATATATACTACTACAGCAACATACGACACAACCACCGAATTACAGGCTCCTGACTTAGGACAGCCACATGCAGAATGTGTGAGGGTTAAACATATTTCAGAAATCCAAAACTTAGATATTGACAAAATTGTTATTTGCGACATGTGGTAACTTCAATACATTTAATTCGAAATTGCACAGCGATGACATTTTAAAGATGTTGTCTTCCCTTAAATGGTTGAAAAAGCTGAATGGTAATATGACTCGTACACAACTCATAAGAAAGATCTTGGGTCTTTTGAGATTCTTTCTTTTTGAACTAAAACTTTGGGTCAAGGTTAAAGGTCAATTAAACGTTTTAGATTTTTTTTATCTTTGTTCGTTATCGCTGCTCCACTGAAACTGTAAGAGATGGACACACACACAAACCGAAATTAAGCAAAATGTTTGGGGCATGCCTGATGGTCAAATCAAATGCTTTGGGTTCAAACTTATCCGATGAAATTTTGAATTTATTATATATTCTTCATACTGATACACATCGGGCCTTTAAAATGCATTAGGTTCTAGAAAAAAAATCTACCGAGAGTGAACAAGATGAGGCATTTTTACTGGCTTTCATAAAAATAACTATATACTGTAATCTGGAAGTAGCTTAATTTCTACCTTATTTCAGAGAAAAGTGCCTAGTTGACCGATACGATGTGTCGGTGTCTCAACTCACTAGCGACATCTTTACACGGTCTCTGATCTTATACAAGTATAGTCGTATGATCTGTAATTCAACCGATTGTGTACTTTTCCCGATTGTGGCATTTGCTAAGTGTGGATTGGCTTGGCGGGTAATGCTTGCTTATGAGGATACGCTTACCCTTTTGACTATCCGGTTTTACTCCTTTTTGAGTTCATGCGATTCCCTCATTGATTTGTCTATTCTGAATCGTATATATTTCATCGAAAAGTGCTACAATTTATTTATTTATTTTTTAATCAATGCAAGATAAATCATCTTCTGACACTGGATGTGAATTTTTCAAAGGGAAGTAAAACTTTTTTCTCCTTCTATTAAAAAATGATCTGCATATCGCCGTTCTAAGTAAAATTTACTATTCTAGATTTAATAATCAGATCTATAAGAAAGGCATTAACTTGTTTTGTGGTATTTGATTAATGTGTGTTTATTTAAATTGTAGGTTGTTATAGTATGCGATTCTTAGAACACTGGAAAAGTGATCTGGACTTCGATTTATATGTCGAAACATTAAATAACGAAAGTTTCATAGAAAGACGATGGCTAAGGGATATTGTTGATAAACAACTACTCGAGGCGAACGGAGTCTTATTGACAGCAAATATGGGATATGGGAAGTCCTCCATAATATCTAATATTGTGTGTGCCGATAGGTCATCGGTGTGGTATGACTTTCGGAAACAAATTCTAGCTTATCATTTTTGTAGATATGACATGGATATGACCGTAAGCGCAGGTACATTCATTCGAAATCTAGCAAGTGCAATCGTCAAACGCTATCCTGAAATGGGAAATGCCATCCTAGCTGATGATGTTGCTTCTGATTTTTTATACGGGCCGCGATGCTATAAGGATCCAATTTCTTGTTTTGAAATGTCTATTTTAAATCCATTGCGCGATCATTGGATAAACCAGAATTTCATAATCCTGATTGATGCTTTGGATGAATGCGATACTGTCGGTAGAAATACTTTGTTTCATTTTCTTTTGACTCAAATCCAAAGATTTCCCTCTAGTTTTAAATTTATTCTAACTTCAAGAAAAATTGAAAATATTAACAGAAATTTTCAGTTCCTAGATGAAAAGGTGAGACAAGTTTATTTAAATACATCGGACCCATTTAATTTAAATGATGTAAAACAATACGCCCGAAAGACAAGTAAGCTTACTGAACCTCAGATCTCAAAACTGACCGGAGCTGCTGATGGAAATTTTCTTCATGTTAAACTATATTTACAGTACTGCAAGAAAACAGATACGTTTGACTTTAGGAATGTACCAAACTCTCTAGCACTGTTATATCAATTAAATTTCAACAGAATTTTTAAAGAATCAGAGAGCTTGTTTTATGATTTCTTACCTGTATTTGAAGTATTATGCACTATTCAAAATCCAATCGATAAGGATCAGCTTATAGAAGTATCACAAATTAAGGATAACAGTAAAAGGAGGCAACTGGAAACGCTACTTGGAAATGAATTGGGACATTTTCTTAAATTTGAGGATGGAAAAATGTCGTTTTTTCACAAATCTGTTATTGACTTTTTAACTGATGAAAGCAGAAACAAATTGCATATTTTTGTTCATAAAGAAAATGGTCACAAGTTGTTCGCGGAATATTTGCTTGGAAAATTAAAAATGAATTTGACTTCAAAACATAATTTGATAGAGCTCATACATCATGTTGCAATGTGCAACAATGCCAAGTACGAATCTATGTTATCTGGATACGTCAGAGATTTACTGAGTAAGGATAAAAAGTTACACTTACAGCTTCTCTATCAAGTTGTCTGGAAATATAATGATTACAATACGACGGAACTGTTACTTAAATACATTGGTGTAACTGCAATAAATACAGTTAACACAATGAACCAGTCCCCAGCGTTTATAGCAGCTAGCCAGGGAAATGAGAAGACCTTGAAATGTTTATTAAACAATGGCGCAAACGCTTCATTTTCCGTCGTTCTCGACTATTCATCGATAGAAGGTTCATATTATCTTAGAGTTCAAAATATGCAGCTTTACTCTAACGTTAGTTTTAATCATAATATAGTTAAATTGTGCAAATATATATACTTTTGCGGTTATACTGTCTTTCATATTGCTGCCCAAAATGGACATAAATATGTTGCTGAAATGTTTTTACAGCAATATAAAAATCTCGTCTATTCAGAAAATGATATGCACTTAAATGCTTTTCATCTTGCGGTAGAACATGGTTATTTGGATATAGTGAAGCTTTTACTAAACTACAACAAGAGTTTTGCAGACACTCACTCTTTATACAAGGCAAGTGAGAAAGGTCATGCACAGATTTTGATATTGTTGCTTGATACCGGATCAAAGGATGTATGTTTACCATGCAATGGTACGTTTTACTGGATACCACCACTGTCTAACAGACAACAACAAACAATAAAGGTTGATAAGATTAGATCAGGATTAACATTCGATCAAGATGTTTATATCAAAACATTCTTTTATGACGATTGGCGATTAATTATATGCGAAACGGCCTTGAATACTGCTGTACGTAATGGTCATCTTGAAATAGTTAAGTTACTTTTACAAGAAACATCCAGTACAATACATTGTACAACTTATGACGGAAAAACGCCATTAATGACAGCCGTGAGGCATAATCGTACGGACATTTTTTACCATTTATATTCAAACGGCGCCAATGTATCACAAAAATGTGTTCATGCCTTTGATTTCCATTTACTGAGATCTAAGTTAGATCTATCAGAATTAGTATTATTAACTGCTGAACAGTGTCCCGTTGGAGCAAGTGTCGCTCACATCATAGCAAAAAGTAAAATCACAAAAATACTGAACTCCGAGGAAAATTCAATCGGAAAGTCCCTAATCACATGGCAAAATCAAATGACAAAACACATCAAACGAATGGACAACAACTGTCATATTCCTGACTTGCATGTATGGTATGGTAATTTTGATATGATGTCATTCATGCATAATAATGGATTTTCAGACTGGGAACAACGAGATGCAGATCAAGCAACTCCACTTCATTATGCGTTTTGTCATTACAACTTTTTATTCATATTTCTCAATGATGTAATGAAACTGAATTTCAATTTTTCTGCTGAAACTGTAAATGGTTCCAGTGTGTTTCACTCTGCAGCCATATGCCGGTCTTCCGCATTGTATGTCTTTCACAACAGAAACGAGGTACATCATCTTAGTATTCCTGATAGCTATGATTATAGAAACAGAAGCATTTTACATTACAGCATGCTACTTCCATTGAGACAAAATGATGATGATCTGCATACCGGTGTTACCGAGGATGTGCTTATATGGGAAATATTTAAGGTTTGTCTTAATTCTAAGCATAACTTTCTCCGTACTGATAATGAAGGAAAGAATTTTCTACATTACGCTGCTAAAAGCGGAAATTACCTTGGATTTCTTAATGCATTTCATACTTTATCTAGGCATGATGTTATGAGTCTTTTGACTCAAAAGGACACATATGGAAAGACGCCTGTTGACGAAATATTTCAGGCAATGCAAAAACGCAAAACCTTTGACCCTATACGCATTCCTAAAGGATGTGAGATAGAAGATGTTTTCTACACGAAATGTCCAACAAAATTTGAAACTATTTTGACGAATCACGAGATGTGCATATTTAAAACAATATTACATCTGTATGAAAAAGAAGGGTTTGGAAAATTTAATATCTCTGAATTTCTATCATCAGCAATCATAAAATCTAGGATTTATCCAATTTTAATGCTTAAAGTTTATGCTGAAAAACAATTCCAACATGTTGTGCAGAATAATCCACAATTGCTTCACTTCATTACAGAATACCAGGGCCCAGATATTGCAGAATTGCTTTTGACGAAAGATAATGCTTTCAAATGTGATGGCAGTTTTAGCCCTCTTCATGAGATCATAATGAACGATCGAAATACCCAGTCAATGTATTATAATCATGAAATTTTAAACAAATACTTGGCGGATTACTCCTGCACAATGTTAGACAGGTGTTTCGATAAGGATGGATATAATTTGCTTCACAGAGCTGTCATGGGAGGAAACTTGCTAGGAACACAATTCTTAGTGAACAAAGGAATGAAATTATTACATGTGTCTCATCATGGACAATCAGCTTTACAAATTTTAATTAATAAAGCTCCTTTTCTAGATAATGGTGTCATACCTTTGCGATATAGTAAAAGCTCTCCATATCAAGTACTGCAATTTGTTTCGGAGAACAGAACTGAAGAATTGATTATTGATTATAGTAGGGCTCTACAGTATGACGAAACAGCGGTATTTTTATTAGACAATGTATATACATCTAGGCCATCAAGACGAAGAAAAATTGCAGCTCTTTTGTGTAGACCCAATGAATGCCATCTTAGTCTAGTACATTTAGCAGCCGCCAAGGGTTTTATAGGTTTTCTTAACAAATGTGTTTTGTTGTTTGATTCAGACACCATTATGGAGATCTTGAACTGCCCTGATTTTAACAAGATAACGCCTTATTATTTAGCAAAGATTTACAAACAAGAAAGTATAATGAAATGGATGCTTAATATTCGTGTTCCCCGAACCAAACCAAACTTAGAAATTGAAAGTTTGTTGATATATAATATGTTCTTCAATTACAACAGACAATATGTATTTGATTGGACATGCGGCCTTCAGTATAGTTATAAACATTATGGTCTCATACAAACACAAGTTTCGAGATGTAGACGTGCAAATAGAGACCAGGATGACTTCATATTATATAAAAACGTATTAAGAGACGCCAATCTACAAGTATTTCATTTGGTAATACATTCCATGTTCACACTTCAGACTAAACAGATTATGGATGTCTGTGATTTTATTGGTACAATTCATATTTGTTCTGCTGTAGTTGACATAAACAATTTAAGATTGCGTCAGTTAAAATTATTACAAAAACAAGCATATATACATTTAAGAAAATGGATGAAATTCAATTATCATGATCATATGTTTTTATATCAAAGAACATTACGTCATATATTCAATGAGCCGGAAGGGAAATATTTGAGAGAGTTATCATTCAACTCCATTGTCAGCACTCGTCTCCGTTATTTAGAACCACTTCGTCAAAATCGTTACTTTCATATGCAATGGTTAGCTAATTTTATGAATGACCTAGAAGATAAAAAAGAAGTAAGTTCAAGTGTCTACTTTAAGTATGAGTACAAAATAGTATGTTGGTTGAATCTAAACATTATGCTGCCTGGAGTTGTACGTCAGTTTGACGAAAAACAAAAACGTTTTCAATTGAACGTAGAGGTCTATGAAAAAAAGCTAAACGAAATTTCCAAACTGGGTAAAAATATGAAAGATCTAATCGAAGATTTCCCCGAAGTATGTAGTGTTTTTGATGTTTATTTGTTGGTAATGGATTGTATTGATGACATAATGTATTTGAAATACTATTTTAATATGCACATTTCTACTGCAGAGTTTCAAAGGACAATACAACGCTTTATTGTCTATTTAGAAAAGGAAGCCAGGAAAAGCCCACATTTTAAACAAAAAGTAGAATTTTTCCAAAAAAATATGTCCTTGTTTTTGTATTTTATGCAATTTATACCAAAAGACAGAACATCTTCTTTGTGCATGAGAATTTTGGTAACACTTGCTACTTATGCTGAGGAAATGAATTTATGATCAATATAATGGAGAAATATATTTAGTGATCATATTTATATATAACACATAACATACAAATCCATTTGAGTGTGGATTAATCAGTACAAAGATTAATGCAATTACACAAATAAAACTATTAATTGCCTAACAATGTAATTTCAACATACTTTTTCGTATGTAAATAATGAAATGTTAAAAATATTTTCAACGCGATAAAAAAAATAAACGCAATATTTCGCTAGACAAACTAGTTTGTTTTCAATAAATTAAAATCAAAATAAATGTTATTGTTATATATATATATGCACATTCATGGCTCTACAATCTGTCGATACCTGTATTTTGGCATTTGCACAAGGTCATGGACTGTTTATGACGTCTTTACACTAAATCCATTCGATATTGGATGTGTACTGATTCATATTTTAGTCTTCGATGCATGATTTTTTGTATTAGTTGTTATTGGCTTTGAACTAGCTGTCAGTAATTGCGAGTACTCTCAGATCTGTACTTAGTGTCTTTTTGTTGTTGGAATGTACAAGTACCCGTCCACGTCCACTCTGTGTTTTTGTTAGATGTATTTCTATTTGTATCCATCTGATGAGTTAAGCCTTTTTCAACTAATTTTTATAGCTTGTTCTTACATTGTACTGTTACACCACTATCCCAGGTTAGGGGAGGGTTGGCGCCTTCAAACTAGTTTAACCCCGCCACATTCTGTATGTGCCTGTCCCAAGTAAGGAGCCTGTAATTCGCCGTTTGTTCAAATTGTTGCTGCGTTACACTTGTGTTTTTCGTTCATGATTTTGTACATAAATTAGGCTGTTAGTTTAGACTATGCGATATGCTCATTGTTGAAATCCGTACGGTGACTTATAAATGTTAATATCTGTGTCATTTTGTCACTTGTGGAGAGTTGTCTCATTGGCAATCATATCAAATCTTCTTTTTTATATAGCTTCTTTTGGTAAACATCTGTCCAGTTGAATTCGGATGCAGATAAGAAACTTTATTGTACATTTTATTTTGCTGCATAATAGATAAATTTATTTAATACGACTATCTAGCAGAGTTCAAGTGAAGTGGATTGAAGCAATTATATGCAACCGAACGGCCTTCAACAGTGAGTAAAACCCATATCGTATAAAGTCGGTTAAAAAAGGCCCCGACATGACATATGTGAAACAAGAAAACTAACGGCCTAATTTATAACAAAACACTTTACGAAAAACAAATATAATGGACCCGAACCATGCAACGACAACCACTGAATTACACTGAGGCTCCTGGCTTGGGACAGGCACATACATTTATCAATAGAATACGAGAATAGAAACGGGGAATGTGTCAAAGAGATAACAGCCCAACCAAAGATTAGAAAGAAGCCCCAGGCCACCAATGCTTCTTCAACGCAGCGAGAAAATCATGCATACGTCTTATCATACAATTAAGCGTAAGTAAAGGGCTACACTGGGCGCAACATAATCGACCACAACATATCGACAAGGAATTTGTTTAAAGCAATTATGGATTAGCACTGGAATTAAAACAGTAGCTCTTCTCATAAGACACTCTATGAAAAAATCAATCCAAATCGGACAAAAGATGAAAATTCTGCAAATCATTTAAAGATGTGATTTTTGGCCCCTTTTATCTCAGAAACTGTATGTCTATAAATGACATAATACCGACAAAAATCCTATCCAAATTGAATTGAAGATAAAAATTCTACATATCATATAAAATGAAATTGTTCATCCCTTTGACCCCTTTTATCTCGGAAACCTTATGAGATAGCACAGGAATTTTTATTTCACATTAAATTATTAACAAACTGCATAAAAATCTAATTGATAAAGTAAAACAAAATTCAGAAATTTAAAATTTACTCCCTATTTATCCCCCCCCCCCCCCACTTTTAACTCGAAAACCATATGTGCTATATTATATCTGTAAATATATCAGATTTAAAAAAAAATATAAGGAATGCAATGAAAAAAAGTTACATTGTATATAAAAAAAATTGTTTTCCCCATTGGTGTCATGGTATTATTAACTATAATTTTAAAATATGTGTACCTAGAATTATTAAATGTTAGAAAAGAAAGTCAGTTCAACAGTGGATTAATTATCAATTTAGTCACTAAGGATGGTCAAACTTCGTCACCAAGGCAAGTCAAACTTCGTCACCAAGGCTGGTCAAACTTCGTCACCAAGGCTGGTCAAACTTCATCACCAAAACTGGTCAAACTTCATCACCAAGGTTATCAGAGCGTTTTCTTCCTCTTAAAATGATTTTCTTACTCAGTTAGAATAAAACCCTTTAATTACAGCCCTAATTCAAATTACTCTGTGACTCTGTGATACAATTAACACTCTTGACTACATCTTAATATCCATAGCAAGACGTGACACACAGAAATGATGCCCACATTTATGATTCGATCTTAATATACTGATAATATACGAGAGTATTTTAGCCTAACCACTAGAAAAGAGGACATCAACATACACAATGCACTAGTAGTTTATCTACCATGTATAGTGTTATCATTTATCTGCACAAAGTTCAGGTTTTGGCAATTAAACCAGAAAAAGACAAGATAGAACAGCCATTCCTACTGCCATATAAAAGCAGTGATAAGGTATCAATTATGATGACAGAAAAATAGAAGCCATTAAAATTTTATTCTACATCCATAACTTTAACTCATGTTCCGAACGTTTTACTGCATCTGGCAAATTTGATATTATGACACTATTCCTGTTTTAAGATAAAACTAATTGCTCAGTTTAGAATAAGAGAAACAATCAAATAATTATTTATTACTTCTATGTAAATAAGATAAAGCCGTCTCATGTCTTCGTTGCTAACGCCACTCAGATATGAGAAGACTACTAGACTAAGTATATATAATAATTAGAAACAGATCTAATCCAAAATCTTTCGCCGCATACCTGCAGCCTGAAAATGAGGTGTAGTACAGCCGACATAATTCACCGGATACCTGCTGCCTGAAAATGACGTTTAGAACAATTGACATAAATCTAGCAGAAATGAACTCCTTGTAACACATTTACATACAAAAAATGGTTGATCTGCATCGTATGTGTTTATATCCTACATTTAATTGTTTTAGTTGAAATGATTTTTAAATCAATGGACACCATGTTTATATGTATGACAGAATCGTCAAACAAAGTGTTTTGTAACCATGCGGTAGCACCCACCATTTTAACATTCATAGGACACAAACAAAGTGTCCTCTACGGAAGCGTATTAGGGCCATCCTTTGTTTATTTCTTTTTTTAAATTGTCGACTTTAATCTTGGAATTATCAACTTTAAACTTGGAACTTCCAACTTAAATCTTGGAATTATCAACTTTAATCCTGGAATTATCAACTTTAATCTTGGAATTATCAACATTAATCTTGGAATTATCAACTTTAATCTTGGAAATATCAACTTTAATCATGGATATTCCAACATCAATCTTGGAATTATCAACATTAATCTTGGAATTATCAACTTTAATCTTGGAAATATCAACATTAATGTTGGAATAATCAACTTTAATCTTGGAATTTCCAACTTAATCTTGGAATGTCAAACTTTAATCTTGGAAATTCCAACTTCAATCTTACCACCTTCATCAGTCTGACACTGATTTTTCCGACTTTCATTAACCTACTGAATCTCTAATCTGAGAACATCATGACTTTTGGCTCACTGGACTCTCGCCTCTGCCAAACAGTGCACTTCAGTTGTGCTTTACTTTACTTTTTGTGGGTGATTGCTGTTGTAAATATCGATGCACATCCGCCTATTCAGCAATATAATATAATGAATGCATATACTGCATACATAATTACAAATGGATATTTAAATTTTGACA